TATATATATATATATATATATATATATATATATATATATATATGTAAATATGTACCTAGAAGGATGTTCAAACGAAAATACTACTTAAATAAAAGAATCTCAAAATATCATTTATTTAAATCATGTTTTAAATAAAATTTTCTTAAAACTATGTCTCATTTGTTCCATATAGATTATATATGAATATTCATTTACTTTTACTGTAGCTATTTAATCAATTTTATTAAAATAAATAATTAAGATTTTTTTAATGATTTTCTTGATTTAAGCATAAATCAAAATTTTCATTTAAACTTTTTATTCTTATGAGGAAAAAGTTCAAAAAACCCAACGAACTATTCCATTTTGAATGATTAAGTTCCTAAATTATTATTTTTTTAATATAAAGACAATTAAACTTTCTCATTTTGAATGATTAAGTTCCTAAACTATTTTTAAATTAAAAAACATTAAACTTTTTATTTTTGAATGAAAAACCATTAAACTTTCTAATTTTGATTGATTAAATCCCTAAAAAAAAATTAATAAATAAATTATCACACTTTTAAAAATTGCCTACCTACATTCTTTATACCAAAAAGAATTACATTAACTGAATAGTAAAAGTTCGATGATTTGTTTTTTTATTTAAAAAATTAGTTGAGGGACTTAATCATTCAAAATGAGAAATTTTACAAAAACTTATGAACTAAATCATTTAAAATAAAAAAGTTTATAGAGTTTTTTATGACATTTAAATTAATATTGAATTAGTTTTTTATATAAAATATTTTTTATTGAAGTAATTTATTTTAAAAAAAAATTACAATTTTCTTAAAAGATACATGAATTTTTTATTTTACTTTTTACACTCGAGAAATTTATACAGCAAAAGTCCTTTTTTAATTTAATTGTTTTATAAAATAAATATTAGCTTTTTTATTTAATACGTATTTTAAAATTAAGAAATTTAATTTGTGATCAGATATGTTAAATATTTTTTAACTAGAATTTTTTTTATTAACCTGGATATCCAATCTGTTATGCGAGCCGACTAATCCCATGGTGACTATCTACTTTGCAGATAGCCCGGATTCACTGCATTTGAACCTCTGTGGCCACAAGGACGACTACCTTCAGGGACCACCAATGTAATTCACTCAAAGTATAGTATTACTTGCTCAAAATAACTCAAAATTTTTATCTCCAATCTTTTAGAATCAAATGTATAAGGTGAAAAAATTGGTGTTCTCAAGTTTTTTTAGAAGGAAAATAACAGAACTTGAATAAAAAATAATGTTGATATTCCTCCAAATGTGAAAGGAAAGAGAAGAAAAACAAAATAATAATAATAATAATATTAATAATAATAATGATGATAATAATAATAATAATAATAATAATAATAATAATAATAATAATAATTAAAACTAATTATAAATTTACACATTTACCTATTATTTACAATCTGCTGTAAAAAAAATCAGAATATATTTGTAAAAGTAACATCTTTTTTCTACTCAAAAACATGAAAATATGTTCTTTTTTTTTTTCTTTCATTTTATTTTCTTATTCTTTCTTTTCTTTCCATATTTAGAAACAAAACACAAGAGTTGCTAAAAAGGACTTGTCCAACCATAAGGATGGTGCCTAATTGGTTTGAGCTTGACTCCAAAGGTCAAAAAGTACTTGGAGGTCTCAGTTTCAAATCCAAGAAGGATAAAAATCCCCTTATGACCAAAATTCGGTGACTCCGGACTATCTACAAAGAAGGTGGTTGTCCGAGGATTAATCAGCTCACATAACGAATTTGATATCCAGGCTTATAAAAAAAAACTTGTCCAAATAAAAATATGACCAAAATGGAATGCAAGCATACCTAATTATCCATGTTAATGTAATATATACTACTAACCATTCTAGAAGTAGAAAATGTACACAAAAATCCATCCTAGCAATCAAGATATCCCTTTTGATGTGGAAAAGGACTAATTCAAGAAAGTGTAAACTAATAGTATTTATAATTGATAAACTTTATAGATTTATCTTTTTTTTTAATAATTCAGATCTTATATATAATTTATAAATTATATAAAAGAATTTTTGTATTCTCTTTAATTTAAATTGTATCGATATTTTTTTTTCAATACATGTAAATGAACTAAAAAATACGTTTAAAATGCATGATARGTACTATTGATTTTTACTGATATGACATTATATACCATTGAATGAATGATACAGATGTTTTTGGAATGATTAAGAGACAAAGTAAAWTTTKGCCAAACATGTTTTATGTCTGACTGATATAGAGGTAAAGTCTGAATGACATCATTCAGATGCAAACCAACCCACCCTAATATTGTTTTTCTTGATTATATTTATATACATGTTTTATCGAAACCGTAAATTCCCTCGAAGTAGGCTAACGTAAACATGTATTTCATGTTTTAAGATAAATAAAATACTTAGGAGTCGTTTACCAAATACTTACCCGGAAAGTGTTTATCCATAAAATTTAACACTATTATTTACTTACTGGCTAAGATTTTAGTCCAACAAAATAACATCGCATGCAACAATTTACATGGTAAATGCTTACCGTTGTAAGAGTCGTCGCCTTCACTTACCGGGTAAGACTTTTGGTCTTTGTCTTGCTCTTACCAGGTAAGATTTCTAGTCCTTATCCGATGAGGTAATGTGACTTGATAAACGCTTACCCGAGTAAGATTTTTGATCCTTAGTCATCCACTCTTTGAATTTTATGTAATTTGACTTTGAGTATGCAGATAATTCCCGCTATATAATGAAACGACTTGATATTAGGGGCGTACCTACCCTTTGAGGTGTGGTTGCCTGTGAAACTATTAAAGTATAGGGCTTGTAATTTTTTTGAGGTATATACATATCAAACTATAAGTTTTTTGGAGTGAAACCATAAGATTATGGGTTGAAATCATAAACATTAAAATCTTTAAGAAGTTTAAATGAAAAAGTAAGAAATAAACACGATGTGAAACTTGAGGATGGTGGTCGGAAATTAATTACGCTTTTAACCCTTCAAATACTTTTGTTTTTAATTTACTTCAATTGCATTCCCAATTTTTATGTTATACCTAATCATATTAATTAATTAAGTATTAATTAAAATAAATTAAAAAATAAGTATTTTCCTTTACAAATTACACTGTTAGAAATGTCTCGTCAATATCTTCAAAACAAGCCGTATTGAATATTTTGATTTGATAATTAATATTCACAACCTCAAGAAAATGCGTTACAATCAAATATTATGCTAAAAAATAAGGCGGAAGAATTGCAGGTGATAACACTTCTTTCTATTTCTTTCTCAGTGATATCTGACGATCAAGACAAATTCCCGTGAACGTCTTCTAGACATTTATCTACTACAAATCACAGATAATCTCCATTTTGAGACACATAAATTTACTTTAAATTCTTATTCGACGTTGTGTGGGGATCTAAAGTGAAGAAAAAATGGGGACACCTGGTAAGGTGTTACCAGCATCAACAATGAACACATTGCCACTAACGTACTCAGACAATTCGTGGATGAGATACCTTGCTAGTTTGGTCAAGGCTGGATCAGCAGTGCCAAATGTTCTTAAAGGGACGGTTCTTTGAGCCACGGTGTTAAGCCAATCTTTTTTCATTAGACCGTCTGTGATCTCAGACTTAAAAATCCCCGGATTAATGGAGTTCACCCTGATCTTGTACGTACCCAATTCCATTGCCATTACCTATTCGAATCACACGAGTCCCAAAAGAAGAGACAACTATAAATGGCATTATGGAATCGTAAAGGAGAATTCAAGGTTAATTACGTACGTACCTTGGTCAATGTGACGACACCCGTCTTTGAACAGGCATAAGCAAGACCGCCAGGTAGTTGTCCACGATCAAGACCGACAATAGACGAGATATTGATAATTGATCCTCCTCGATTCGCATCACGCATAAGTATAGAAACATACTTTGACACCAACCAAGCTCCTGTTAAGTTTGTTCTCATCGTGCTATCCCATTCTTCTTCAGACAACTCTAACGAACCCTTCACATTACCTGAAAGCAAATGAATCATCAAAACCTATCAAGGCTCATGAATCGGTTTAAGCGAATGTTTCATCGTCTCTAGACCCTCATGATAGAGAAGGAGGCGAAAGAAACCAACCACAAGGGAAAGAATCAATTTGTGTTAGATTCTACTARTTCAGTTGACTTCAAATTTGTCATTTTCAGATGAAAATGACTTTTTAAATAAATCATATGAATTATTTAATAAATATATTAGATAATTACAACTATTCGAAAGCACTAACTAATCAAGAAAATGAAGTTGTAARACACACATCATCATATTCGAATCTCAAAAGTTGCCCCTATATATTCCTTTTCTTTTAGACAAAGCAAATAAGTTAGATCGTAAACATAAATACTTGAAAGTACGGGACGTGATGGGCATAAATTCTGCAAGAAAAACAAGAACATGAGACACGTTACATAAAATAAAAACGTACCAAAACGGACTCTAATCGTACATAATATATATCCATTAGCCTTTTAAAGGGGATAACGACATTGAGGAGGTTTTGACTTCTTTGTGAGTATGGAACAAAGTTGGTTAGGAGGTGAATTCAACCGGATAAAACATCGATTCTAATCAACTTCTCAGCTTAAAATAAAAAGCATATATTAATAGCATACTCTAACAAGTAGGAAGGGACGCATTTCTTATACTAGAAGGGTACTCGCGTAATGCAGCGACATAAATCTCTATTCTAATGTTTAATTTTTTATTATTTGTCTCTATTGATGTAATATAATTTTATGTGGTTTTGAGAAAGAGATAATGTTTTTTTTTTTTAAATGAAATACAAATTTAAAGATAGCATAAAAATTAAAAAAAATCGATATTAGTATTAAATTAACTATTTAATAGTTTTCGTTTTTTTTTTATGTAACTTCTTCAATTTTTTATTATAATT